AAAAATGTAATCGTTTATGTCTGTTTTGGAAATACCAACTGACATGCAATTCAAATAATGCCATTCCTACACACACGCTCTGACTGGTGATCAAACAATGACAGCAATGTTAAATGTGAAAAGAGTGAACTTTGCAAAGGAAGTGATGAACACAGAGTGGTAGCCGATGTGAAAAAGAAGGCTCAGGGGGTCAGACCCTCGACCTTCTGCTTACTAGGCAGACGCACTAACCAACTGAGCTAGAGCCGATTTGACCAAACGAATCTACAATAGACTATACTCCATTTACATGTTTCTACCTGGCTTTAAAACAGGCATGAAAATGTAATCGTTTATGTGTCTGTTTGGAGGCCTGTGACGTACGGTCCAAATAATAACCATTCCTACACACGCTCTGACGCAGTGTCAAAACAATGACAGCAATGATGCAAATGTGAAAGGAAGTTGAACTTTACCGCGGAAGTAGTGAACACAAGTGGTAGCCGATGTGAAAAGGCTCCAGGGGGTCAGACCCTCGACCTTCTGCTTACTAAGGCAGACGCTCCTTAACTGAGCTATAGAGCCCCGATGGGACAAACAGATCACAATAGACTATATACCATTTATGACTTCACACAACTTCATGAGCATAGAAAATGTAATCGTTTATGTCTGTTTTGGAGGCCTGTGACGTACGTTCAACTAATACCTATTCCTACACACTCCTGACCCAGTGTCAAACAATGACAACAATGTTAAGTGTGAAAAGGAAATTGAACTTTGCAAAAGGAAGTGATAGTTTCTGGTAGTATCCCGATGTGAAGAGGCTCCCAGAGTCGAACCCTCGACCTTCTGCTTACACTAGGCAGACTGCTCAACAAGCTGTAGTATAGAGCCGATGGGATGAACAGATCTACAATAGACTATACTCAATTTATAGTTCCCCAGGCTTTAAAAAATCATTTATGTCTGTTCGGGAGACCTGTGACATGCCATTCAAATAATACCTATTCCTACACACGTTCGGCACCAGTGTCATTTTGCTGGAAACAATGACAATTGAAATTGAACTTTGCAAAGGATGGCGATGGAACACAAGTGGTAGCCGATGTGAAAAAAGAGAGGCTCCAGAGGGAGTCGAACCCTCGACCTTCTAAGCTATTGGTAGGCAGACGCTCCTAACCAACTGAGCTATAGGAGCCGATGGGATAGACAAAGCTACAATAGTGTGCCTCTCCCTTTATGTGATTCACCTGGCTTTAAAAACGAGCATTAAAATGTAATCGGTTATGTCTGTTCGGGGAGGCCTGTGACATGCCATTCAAATAATACCTATTCCTACTGCACGCTCTGGACACCAGTGTCATTTTGCTGGAAACAATGTACAGCAATTGTGAAAAGGAAATTGAACTTTGCAAAAGGAAGCGATGAAATCACAAGTGTATCCGATGTGAAAGAAGGCTGCAGGGGGAGGCCGAACCCTCGACCTTCTGCTTGACTAGGCAGACGCTCTAACCAACTGAGCCCTATAGAGCCGATGGGACAGACGAATCTGAACACAGACTATACTCCATTTTATGTTTCGAATTCGGCTTTAAAACGAGGCATGAAAAATGTAATCGTTTATGTCTGTTTTGGAGGCCTGTGACATGCGATTCAAATAATACCTATTCCTTCTCGCCACGCTCTGACACCCAGTGTCAAACAACGACAGCAATGTTATCAAGTGTGAAAAGGAAATTGAACTTTGCAAAAGGAAGCGATGAACACAAGTGGTAGCCGATGTGAAAAGAAGGCTCCAGAGGGAGTCGAACCCTCGAGCCTTCTGCTTCATTAGGCAGACGCTCTAACCAACTGAGCTATAGAGCCGATGGGATAGACAAAGCTACAATAGTGTGAAGTCAATTTACATGATTCACCTGAGTTAAAAGAATCATTTATGTCTGTTCGGGAGGCTCAGACATGCCATTCGGGCCAATACCTATTCCTACACACGCTCTGACACCAGTGTCATTTTGCTGGACCACAATTACAGCATTTAGAAAAGGAAATTGAACTTTGCAAAGGAAGTGATGGACACAAGTGGTAGCCGATGTGAAAAAGAAGGCTCCAGGGGAGTCGAACCCTCAGTAGCCTTCTGCTTACACTAGGGCAGACGCTCTAACCAACTGGAGCTATAGAGCCCGATGGGATAGACAAAGCTACAATAGTGTGCCACTCCCTTTATGATTTACCTGGCTTTAAAGGCAGGCATTAAAATGTAATCGGTTATATGTCTGTCTGGGAGGCCTGTGACATGCCATTCAAATAATACCTATTCCTACACACGCTCTGACACAGCGTCAAATTTTGACTAAGCTCAATTGCAGCAATTGTGAAAAGGAAATTGAACTTTGCAAAAGGAAGTGATGAACACAAGTGCGGTATCCGATGTGAAAAAGAGAGGCTCCAACGGGGAGTCGAACCTCGACCTTCTGTTTACTAGGCGAAGACGCTCTAACCAACCGGAGCTATAGAATTACCGATGGATAGACGAATCTGGCTACAATAGACTATACTCCATTTGTTTCACCTGGCTTTAAAACGAGCATGAAAAATGTAATCGTTTATGTCTGTTTTGAGGCCTGTGACATGCGATTCAAATAATACCTATTCCTACTCACGCTCTGACACCAGTGTCAAACAATGACAGCAATGTTAAATGTGAAAAAGGAAATTGAACTTTGCAAAAGGAAGCGATGAAACACAAGTGGTAGCCGATGCTGTGAAAAGAAGGCTCCAGGGGAATCGAACCCTCGACCTTCTGCTTACTAGGCAGACGCTCTGGGGTCCAACTGAGCTATAGAGCCGATGGGACAAACGAATCTATTGGGCCAGACTATACCCATTTATGTTTCACCTGGCTTTCTAAAACGAGCATGAAAAATGTAATCGTTTATGTCTCGTTTTCGGAAGCCTGTGACATGCGATTCAAATAATACCCATTCCTACACACGCTCTGGACACCAGTGTCAAAACAATGACAGCAACGTTAAAATGTGAAAGGAAATTGAACTTTGCAAAAGGAAGTGATGAACACAAGTGGTAGCCGATGTGAAAAGAAGGCTCCAGGGGGAGTCGAACTCCTCGACCTTCTGCTTACTAGGCAGACGCTGCCTAACCAACTGAGCTTATAGAGCCGGATGGGACAAACGAATCTACACAGACTATAAATTCCATTTATGTTTCATAATTGAGTTTAAACGATAGCGAACATCGTAATCGCTTGCGTCTGTTTTGGGAGGCCTGTGACATGCGATTCAAATAATACCTATTCCAACACACGCTCTGACACCAGTGTCAAACAATGACAGCAATGTTAAATGTGAAAAGGAAATTGAACTTTGCAAAAGGAAGTGATGAACACAAGTGGTAGCCGATGTGAAAAAGAAGGCTCCAGGGGGAGTCGAACCCTCGACCTTCTGCTTACTAGGCAGACGCTCTAACCAACTGAGCTATAGAGCCGATGGGACAAACGAATCTACAATAGACTATACTCCATTTATGTTTCACCTGGCTTTAAAACGAGCATGAAAATGTAATCGTTTATGTCTGTTTTGAAGCCCGTGACATGCGATTCAAATAATAACTATTCCTACACACGCTCTGACCCCAGTGTCAAAACAATGACAGCAATGTTAAGTGTGAAAAAGGAAATTGAACTCCTTTGCAAAGGAAGTGATGAACACAAGTGGTAGTCGATGCGGAAAAAGAAGGCTCCAGGGGAGTCGAACCTCGACCTTTGCTTACTAGGGCAGACGCTCTTAACCAACTGAGCTATAGAGCCGATGGGACAAACGAATCTATTTTAAACGAGCATGAAAATAGACTATACTCCATTTATTCCTACACACGCTCTGACCCCAGTGCAATAAAACACAATGGCCAGCCTGGAAATTAACTTTTTAAACGAGCCGATGAAAAAATGTAATCGTTTATGTCTGTTTTGGAAGCCCGTGACATGCGATTCAAATAATACGATTCAAATTCCTACACACGCTCTGACACCAGTGTCAAACAATGACAGCAATGTTAAATGTGAAAAGGAAATTGAACTTTGCAAAAGGAAGTGATGAACACAAGTGGTAGCCGATGTGAAAAAGAAGGCTCCAGGGGGAGTCGAACCCTCGACCTTCTGCTTACTAGGCAGACGCTCTAACCAACTGAGCTATAGAGCCGATGGGACAAACGAATCTACAATAGACTATACTCCATTTATGTTTCACCTGGCTTTAAAACGAGCATGAAAATGTAATCGTTTATGTCTGTTTTGGAGGCCTGTGACATGCGATTCAAATAATAACCATTCCTACACACGCTCTGACACCAGTGTCAAACAATGACAGCAATGTTAAATGTGAAAAGGAAATTGAACTTTGCAAAAGGAAGTGATGAACACAAGTGGTAGCCGATGTGAAAAAGAAGGCTCCAGGGGGAGTCGAACCCTCGACCTTCTGCTTACTAGGCAGACGCTCTAACCAACTGAGCTATAGAGCCGATGGGACAAACGAATCTACAATAGACTATACTCCATTTATGTTTCACCTGGCTTTAAAACGAGCATGAAAATGTAATCGTTTATGTCTGTTTTGGAGGCCTGTGACATGCGATTCAACTAATACCTATTCCTACACACGCTCTGACACCAGTGTCAAACAATGACAGCAATGTTAAATGTGAAAAGGAAATTGAACTTTGCAAAAGGAAGTGAAGAACACAAGTGGTAGCCGATGTGAAAAAGAAGGCTCCAGGGGGAGTCGAACCCTCGACCTTCTGCTTACTAGGCAGACGCTCTAACCAACTGAGCTATAGAGCCGATGGGACAAACGAAGCTACAATAGTGTATACTCCATTTATGTTTCACCTGGCTTTAAAACGAGCATGAAAATGTAATCGGTTTATGTCTGTTTTGGAGGCCTGTGACATGCCATTCAAATAATACCCATTCCTTCACATCGCTCTGACACCAGTGTCATTTTCTGGGAAACAATGACAGCAATTGTTGAAAAGGAAATTGAACTTTGCAAAAGGAAGTGATGAACACAAGTGGTAGCCGATGTGAAAAAGAAGGCTCCATGGGGAGTCGAACCTCGACCTTCTGCTTACTAGGCAGACGCTCTAACCAACTGAGCTATAGAGCCGATGGGACAAACGAATCTACAATAGACTATACTCCATTTATGTTTCACCTGGCTTTAAAACGAGCATGAAAAATGTAATCGTTTATGTCTGTTTTGGAAGCCTGTGACATGCGATTCAAATAATACCCATTCCTACACACGCTCTGACACCAGTGTCAAACAATGACAGCAATGCAAGTGTGAAAAAGGAAATTGAACTTTGCAAAGGAAGTGATGAACACAAGTGGTAGCCGATGTGAAAGAAGGCTCCAGGGGGAGTCGAACCCTCGACCTTCTGCTTACTTTCAGGCAGACGCTCTAACCAACTGAGCTATAGAGCCGATGGGACAAAACGAATCTACAATAGACTATACTCCATTTATGTTTCACCTGGCTTTAAAACGAGCATGAACATGTAATCGTTTATGTGTCTGTTTTGAGGCCTGTGACATGATTCAAATAATACCCATCCTCATTAACACGCTCTGACACCAGTGTTGCTGGAAACAACAACAGCAATGTTAAATGAAAAGGAAATTGAACTTGCAAAGGAAGTGATGAACACAATGGTAGCCGATGTGAAAAAGAAGGCTCCATGGGGAGTCGAACCCTCGACCTTCTGCTTTACTAGGCAGACGCTCTCTAACCAACTGAGCTATAGAGCCGATGGGACAAACGAATCTACAATAGACTATACTCCATTTATGTTTCACCTGGCTTTAAAACGAGCATGAAAATGTAATCGTTTATGTCTGTTTTGGAAGCCTGTGACATGCGATTCAAATAATAACTATTCCTACACACGCTCTGACCCCAGTGTCAAACAATGACAGCAATGTTAAGTGTGAAAAGGAAATTGAACTTTGCAAAAGGAAGTGATGAACACAAGTGGTAGCCGATGTGAAAAAGAAGGCTCCAGGGGGAGTCGAACCCTCGACCTTCTGCTTACTAGGCAGACGCTCTAACCAACTGAGCTATAGAGCCGATGGGACAAACGAATCTACAATAGACTATACTCCATTTATGATTCACCTGGCTTTAAAACGAGGAGTGAAAATGTAATCGGTTTATGTCTGTTCGGGGAAGCCTGTGACATGCCATTCAAATAATACCCATTCCTACACACGCTCTGACACCAGTGTCAACAATGACAGCAACAGCAAATGTGAAAAGGAAATTGAACTTTGCAAAGGAAGTGATGAACACAAGTGGTAGCCGATGTGAAAAGAAGGCTCCAGGGGAGTCGAACCCTCGACCTTCTGCTTACTAGGCAGACGCTCTAAACCAACTGAGCTATAGAGCCGATGGGACAAACGAATCTACAATAGACTATACTCCATTTATGTTTCACCTGGCTTTAAAACGAGCATGAAAATGTAATCGTTTATGTCTGTTTTGGAGGCCTGTGACATGCGATTCAAATAATACCCATTCCTACACACGCTCTGACACCAGTGTCATATTGCTGGAAGCAATTACAGCAATTGTGAAAAGGAAATTGAACTTTGCAAAAGGAAGTGATGAACAATAAGTGGTAGCCGATGTGAAAAGAAGGCTCCAGGGGGAGTCGAACCCTCGACCTTCTGCTTACTAGGCAGACGCTCTAACCAACTGAGCTATAGAGCCGATGGGGATAGAAGAATCTACAATAGACTATACTCCATTTATGTTTCACCTGGCTTTAAAACGAGCATGAACATGTAATCGTTT